ACCTACCTCCGACCATACCGAGTCTTTCGGAGACGCCCCGGATTTGATGGTCGTCGGTCGGGCCGAAGATCTCAACACATGGACAAGAACCATTGGAGACTTGTAAGAAGATAACTTATTTTCATACTCAAGGTGGTCGTTTAGGAGTCAAAATACGTCAAAAGTGCTCAGTGAACCACTGTGCTTAGTAAAATACTAAATATATAGTCTTCTTAGGTTCATTTTCGAGGTGAAGTGGATGTTCCTGCTTGTCGTTCAGTGTAATTACTTTCTTGGATGACTAAATGTATCAGCTCTCATTACTCCTCATAAGAAAGACTAATTTTGGGACACATGGAATGGTAGATCGATTGATAAGATTAGATGACGAGCAGTTTGACGATTGATGGTTTTCGAGTGTTCATTAAATGAGCTTCAAGTGTACCTCACCCCCACCGATTGAATAAGCACAACATCATTGGCTGCCTTTCCTTTAAAAAGGACGCACGATATTATGAGACAATAAAATAGTATAGTTACAGTACATTCTCCTTTTCTCCGCCAGTGATAAATGCATGGTTTTCTTTTCGCAATTCCATAGATCGACAATGACACTGGATTATGCAAGACACATTTACCATTACTTGAACTCGTTTTTATTCATCGAACAACCAGATCTGAATCACACAGGAGCCGTGTGCAAAACAAAACATCTGGGGAGGTAAGTTTCACGGTCAAATGATTCTGCTAAATTAATTCTCTGTCTGCTGACACACACACTTGCAACTCGGTGCCTCTTGGGATTCGATTTCGCAAATTGAAACAAAATTAAATGTTCAAATTCCTTATTTGCCTTATGTTACTCATCCTTTTTCGCACCCCTCGAGTCGTGTTCGATTTCTCATTGCAGAGATGTTTTCATGCACAGCTAAGTCGGAAACTAAGTACCGTAGACATTGATTTCCTAAGTGGAGTCAAGGGCAACGAACGTTGATCATGATACGTTATCCTGGATTAGTGTTTATTTTCAAACTATTTTTATTATTATTAGAGTACGTACCATTATCGGCGGAACCTCGTTTCGAATGTCTTCTTGGTTTCTTCCTACTACCACATGGTCACTGGATTCTTAAAAACCCCTTACCACCATGTTTTACTGGTGCATTATTCAGGCTACCAGCCATTCTTACAAAGTATATGCTCCCAGGCGCTGTGCGATTGACTTTTATTGAACCATCTTCCTGAGGGTATCCAATGTGAGAAACATCAGTAGACAACCGTTACTGACGGAGATGTTTATATGAAAGTTAGCTCACCTTCCTTTTGTCATCGTGTTATAAAATTTCCAATCTCCTAACAGCTAGCATTAATCAAGTATCACAAACATGAATTCAGACAACTGTGTTGAAGATCTTAAGTTTTTTTCGGAAACTGGTTTCGCTGCGTATCTGGTTTTCGGTTTCGGTTTTGTACTACACACCGTTGTGAGCGGTGTTCATTATCCTCGAACTGTGAATGTATCCATATCTCGTGAACAGAGTTCAATTTGAGTGCAGATACAGAGCGGCAAGCATTTACTCTTTTGCACTATCGCTTTTTTGATTTACTTCAGGGCTTGTGAATGCAAAATAATATACCATTTGTGTTACATTTGCGATTTTTACTCAGAGGAGTATCGCATTTTATACGGATGGTATACGAGATACGTCAAATAGTTTGATGATATGGGCACATCGCTTGAACCTTCTCCACTCACACTCACTTTCTCATTTCTTAATCAAGATTTGCAACATCAACATTTGTAGAGAATAAAATGTTTCTACTTTCTTTGACCTCAGAATATTCCGATAATTCTTGATCTGACTCGCCTACAGCAGTGTGAATAAAGTTTGCATGTCTAGGATAAAGGACCGCGGGTTTTGGCTAAAGCTTGAAGGGAAAAGGTGTAGTAGCACTATTACTGAGTAGTAAGACTCATAAACTTTATATCCTTTCGCAACTGATTACTGAACGTAAACGAGAATGAACAATCGGTGCAGCTTTTCGATAATAATCAGCATATAGTTCATCCCTGAGGCTTATCAATCTGCACACTTTTTGTCCTTCTCAGATACCAGAATCGCGTGTGAATTGCTTCAAAGTAAAACCTTACAAAACTTGCCCTGGCTTTGTGATCTAAATGGTAATTCACATAACCGCTGTCTTCGTGATTCTCCTGTTTTCTTTTTGATTTATATCACAGATTTCTAGTTGGTCCGAAAGATTTGAGCGACACAACGCAATCCGTACAATGCCCAATCCTTTGCTCCCCGGGATCTGAAGTTCCGGACAGTCAGTTGGTCACCTATCAAGCCTTACGCACAGTGATCTGTTTTATTGTAAAAGGTAATGTATGTTTATGTAACATGCGTCATATATATACTTTTCTACTTTACTTTACTGCGGCTGGCTCCTTGGAAAGGATAAGCCGGCTCCAGACATGATCATGATCATGAAGTTCCTTGGGAGTTTGGTACGAGAGACGTCCCCACCGTCACTCGGCGTTTTCTCTTATTTGAGGGCGCACCACTAGCCTTTGCACAACCAGGTGCGAACTGCAAGGCAGTGGGAACTAACCCCTCGCCTCGGAAGTGAGATGGTCAATGACTTTAGTTTTGAAAGGCCAGTCACGACACCGTTATCGGGCTTATGTGGCTTTTAAACGGGAGTCAGGTGACCAGCCTGAAACCCACATCACTCTGTTAGTGATGCCACTGTTTGTTCGGTTCGTTTGTTTGTTGCGGTATGCCACAACTTATTCACAGCTAACGTTCTTAGGTGAAGGTTTCCCCCTATGCACAACCCGGGGACGCACCTGGTAGCATTCAGCTCTACTTGACCCGAGGGTATCCAGGGTTGCTTCTATCAGCAAGAATTGAACAATAGTGAACTTGATGATCGAAACAAATCTTGCGTATTGAAGCGAAGGTTGTTTTAAAGAGCACCGTAATAAACTATGTCGTTCGTTATTTTGGGGTTACTGCACACAGCCATGGTTTATTTTAAGGGGAAAGTTATCTTCTCCCTTTTTCATTCATGTAAGTGCAATAACGTTTTATGAATTCTTCGTTGTTATTCCCACTTATTTTGATTGATTCATGAATGTAAATGTTTATTTCATTGAGGCATCTCTGATTTGTGGTTCTTTCAAATAACTCACCATAATCTTTAACAGTCTTTCGCACGTCCGTCAACTTCTTTACATAACACACTTTTCTGTCAGGTATCAAATCCATTCCAATGAACTTTTTCATTGAATTCGATGCTATGGTTGGTCCGCGCTTAACCCTGTTGGCCGACCGATTAACTTCCAGTCAATCCGCCTCGTTGGTAGGAGGCAGGTGAGTGTATAAATCATCTGGATCTACCACTATCAAACACTTTAATGCGTGTATCCTTATTAGTCATCAATATCAGACATCGTCAGGTTGAAAAACTGGCTCCATTTTGGATTTTTCCGTTTCCTGCGATGCGACGAATGTTTGTACGAGAGCACTGTTGTTTCAATGGCAACACATGTTATAATGGTTAGAATCCTCCTGTTCCAACTTTGATGCCACTATCTAATTCACGGGAATGGGTAGGCTTTGATATCTTCCACATCATGCTCTTACGAGCTACCATAATGGTACAGGTAGATATCCAGCAACAGTTCTGTATCAGTCAGCTGTGTGGATGCTCAGTTGGTCCATTTTGGGTTTGGCGAGGCTGACTTAAGTCTGCAGTTGGCCACTGACTAGTGGTTGGATCATTCTCTCAATACTCTTATCATTTTTTTCCGAAATGCGAGCAACTCAACAATGCTCTATTTGCATTCCTATCTGAAAAAAATATGGATTGCCATTCGCTTTCAAAGTAGAGCATCCTGGTCTGTATTGAGCATCTATTGGATATCCGCCTCAACCCGGGGGTGGTTTTCGCCTCAGATACAGCTTTTGAACTTGTGCGCGTTGGTCGAGGTACATCTTTTCTGCTGAATTCGTCAAACTAGCCCTCATTGGCAAGACATTCATTTTTTGCTTTTTAAGCGGTTGCTAAGCAGAACTTCGACCGTGAGAATCATCATGATGCCTATCTTTTTCATCAGACTAGATGCACTGAGGAATATCCTGTCCAGATATAACCGAATTTCGTGCCTAAAACAATTTTGTTGATGTTTATCTACCCGACAGAATGGAATTTTCTTTTTGTCCAAAACTTAATTGATTATCTGCGTTCTATATTTTATCTTCAATGGTTTCTTTACGCTGTTTTCGGAAAATTCGAAGAAACTTCCAGGTATCTGTTCAGAATTTGAGTGTATACACAATGTAAAAATAACTAAGGGGTTTATTGAATGAATATTTATTTTAAACTAAACTTTTCCACAGAGGGATGAAAAAAGTGTTAACTGATGGATAGAGGCAAGTTGCGATAGTGCGATAGAGTTTCCGGCGTTCATAAAACCCCCGTATTTACAGTTTTGTTTCAAGAAATGTAATGGGTGGAAAAAAGCAAAGGCTCAGCACGAGGTTATGAAAACCCTAACCAGGAAACTTAGGTCATGTAGGTCGCCTCACTGGTTGGAGACATCGGGATCAGTGTAATCATTGTTTAGAGACACTGAGTGTGGTAAACAGTGACGTTCGTGCCTCATCTGCGTTTCTTCGAAACCTTATTCTACTTGAATTCTCCGTTTCCTCTTTTGTTCGAATTTGAACTTTTCCATCTTTCTTCTACCCCTTCATCTTTATGGGCATTTATGAGATAGCAACCAAAACCCACGCACGAAAGTGCACGGTTGTAAAAACTGAAACTGTTTTCACCAAATATATGAAAATTTTTTTTTCAATCCAACAGCTGTTCTGTACGACAAATAATCGTCGAAAGTTTGACCTCCGTGATGGCGTTCGAACTCACCACTCCGTGGGCTATAATTTGGTAACCATTACCGCTTGACTACCGGAGAACATTGTATGTAACCAAAAAAGTTCGGGATTATGGGCAAGCCTCCGTCATCCAAGTAAACTACCATGCTTGAAGAACTAAGAAATAAGTGTTACATGAGTTTTGATAAACCCTGCACAATATTTTTATTGATGGCTCGAAGATCCATGTTTATAATGATCTCTGTTGACCGCTCACATACACTGTATTCACGAATTGTACCATTTAGCATCATAAATGCAAACTCCTATTAGTTCCAGTTAGGTTGTCTGGCATTCAGAAGTGTTTTGTTCAAATTGTGAAAAACTTCTGCGTGATTTCATTCAACACCTGTCTTTCAAGCTCGAGCGTGCATTATTTTCTTTATTTTAGTGCGTTCATTTTCAACCAACCGGTTTTCGGCGAGTGAGTATTAATTGATGACTGAATTGGTATTGAGTTTCAGACGTGCGATAATGAAGAGACGGACATTGTGAGTAACTAAAAGAAGAAAGGTTCTTTCTTATTACACGTTAGTGTGTGATGAACAGCACACGGGGCGAACCCCATAGTCACGAGAACCTGATGTTCAGTGGCGGAAACCGGCAACCTATGCCCCGGGACTTGGAGTGGCGAACCACATAAGGCCCTGCTAGGTTAGACGTAGTAAAGAACCGGTCGACAGCAAAGCTGCCTGCCACCAGAGTTGGGTGGCGGGGATGGAACCTCGAACCACAGGGTTCAAAGCAGGCCGGTGACAGCGACTAAACCATTGCAACACTACCACCTTGTTATTCAAGTGAACTACTGTGATGGCACAACTACGAATGATTCTTGCATGGGTTTCGTGAAAGTCTGCAGATGTTTTCCTCCAGGCAGACCGTTACATTCAAGAGAAGAATATACGCGCACTTGAGCCGTTTGATTTAATCTTTGATGATCTAAATATTGCTGACTTTTTTCTGTCACTGGCGACGAAGTTGCAAAGTACTTAAACAACTATTCATTTTCCTTCTTGTATATGCTTATTTCTATATCGTACCACTGACAGCACCGATCCCACTTTGGTCGTAAGCATCGACCTCCCAGGCCCCAAATGGGAAAATACCAAAGGAGCTTTGTATCCGTCTGACACAAGTTCATCCTTAATTCGTCTATCGGATGCGTTATCGCTACGGAAGCAACAAGCGCAATTGTTCTCTATGTACTCGTGCACGTCTATCATTTACTATTTCAGTTAAATCGTCCACAAGCAACTCCTGCGGAACTTTAAACACGGCGTCACACACTTTGCTAATGTTACCAACAGAAAGGAGCTTAGTCTGGTTTTTCCAAAAAGGCTGAACTAATCAAATAACTTCATACAGAATTTCTACATTTGAAAACCTAAAACTGTCGCTTGTTGGATGGATGGAACAGTTTCCATTCATAACGGTCGTCGCATTCGCACCAAATAGCCACTTGCTTGGTATGTGCTACCACGTAAATGGAAACGGAAGAATGAACTGCTTAGAGCGATTAGGCTACAATGGCAAAATTTTCTCCCGCCGTTTGAAAAAAGGAGATTGTAAGGGTGTTCGTAAAAGTTACTTGTAACTACAGCATATAGCGTCAGTGTCGACACATCACCGAGATGTGTTAGAAATGTCAAATACAATTTTCAGAACGAATATTAATTCACAACTATGATATTCCATCTGTACGGAGCTGGCGATTTTATAATTTTATTCAATTTCTCAGTTTTTAACTTCTTGTGGCAATTTTATTAATTATCCCCCCCCCCCCNCCCCCCGGTTTTCTATACTCTGTCCTTATTCCAGCGCATTCCCCGTGCAGTTGTTCGAGGACCAATTTAATCCCAATCTAGTCACACTATCTGCAGTCGGTCCAGGCCAAAATCGAGAGGAGGAATCGGTTCAAGTTGTAGAAGAGCTTGCTCAAAGCGATGCTACTCTGGTCACGTCTCAGGGTCATTCCCGATTCGTCTATTGGAACCCGTCTACCTATGCAGTGATGAGCACCTTACACGTCTACACGGGTTCAGGACGTCGTCCGTATACAGGAGCTAAACCAATCATAGAGGCGATGACCAGTTTGCGCTCGGAGTTATTGCAACGGTGAGAAACTTATCATAAAAGCGTCGTGCTTTGTTTTGTAATTTTTATGTGCCTCTTGGTGTGTGCAATCCTCAGTGCCTGTTAAAGTTACACAATACAATAAACAACAATGAACAGATAATTTTAACAGTTGATTGAAAACCCAGGGTATATCATTACTAATGTTCTGTGGTTTACCTCCTTGCTGAAGTAGCGTTCTGTATTCCACATATCATTCCAGCGATGATTTCCATCCTCGGACCCGCCCAAATTGATTTTCTCCGTCCTCCAAAATATAAAAAATCCATTCTTTTGTCCATGTAAAATGAGTTCCAGTTCACGGTGGGTGATTTTCTGCCACCGCTACACTGCTTTGGCGATAATTGGCTTCACTATCACCTAGCTCAATACCACGGCTATTTTATGAGACGTTACACAGATATATATATATTTCACACTTGTCTGAGGATAGACTGTGTGCCAGGCTAATTATGGTACAATAATCCTTATAAACAAGAAAAGCGTTCCATGATTGACTTGCGGACTGAATACTGCCAGGTTGCCCAAGCCAAGGCAAGTGAATTTTATTGAGGAATCCACAACCGGAGACTTCGGTTAACCAAAGCCTGACCCGCAAGGTAGCGGGGCGGAGTGTGAAAAAAGCGGTCCAATTCATCAGATCATTCGCCCTTCGGACGGGGTCAAACATCCAAGGTGCCCAATACACCTCAATGCCCAATCGAACCGGTGACCACTGCCACAACCGAAAAGGTGTGGGTGTGGTTCGTACGTCTCCTCATGGTTGGTTTGGAATCAGGGTTTTTGACCAACTCCCCTAGGTGAACTGCCAGTGGTCCACCAACCCGGCTATAGCCCCGGATATCGGCTTTTCGTCCTCTCACTTTGGTTGGAAAACACCTCTGNCACCTCTGCCGCGAGAAGGTAGTGAGTAGGGCTTCCTCAGCAGAGGCTATTCGTATGGGGGCATTTTGTGAGGTGCAAGGGCAGGGTGACCAGCCGAACCCTAGACACCCACCCCAACCATACTGAGGCCTTGGGAGGCGTTACACAGATCGCTACCCCAATTTCCGGAGCTGTAGTTGAAATTTATCTTGAGCAACAGTACGCCTTCTGAAATACGTTCTTTATCTCCTTCTGCCGTTTATCACGCTGATATGTGTTAAAAGAATAAGAACAGTCTGTTCGACTCCGATTAGTTCCTCGAATTCACTTGTGAAATTCTAAATATATCCAAATCATTTTTGTATCATGCATCACCGTACGATATAGCTTTGTTTAAAAAGAAAAGACCAAATTGCAATACTGCACGATTTATGTCCAGGACGATTTCGCTGCATCTCAACATGGTGCATACTGCATAAAATACAATACTTATATAGGGATTTCGCATGGCAACAATGATGGGTAAAATACAATGAAACAGAAAAAAAAGGGGGAGGGGTAAAAAAGACTATCACCAGGGTAAGGATAAACTAACATAAAGTTCTTTTTGTTGACACAAGGGGGGCTTCCATCGACTGATAGCAATCGCTTCTG